AACATTTGTTATCACTGTTACAATTACTCTCATATTCCTAGGTTCAATGTGGATTGGGGCGAACTGGTCATCTCTGGGCACATGAAGCATACGGTGTATTTCCGGATATAATGACACTTGCCAAGCCTCTTGCAGGAGGCCTTCCAATAGGTGCTACTTTAGTAACAGAAAGAGTTGCTTCTGCTGTAGTCCATGGCGACCATGGAAGTACTTTTGCCGGTTCACCTCTTGTGTGCAGTGCTGCTATTGCTGTTTTAGATAAAATAGCAAATCCTAGTTTCTTGTCCAGCGTCTCAACGAAAGGTCATTACTTCAAAGAATTGTTGATCCAAAAGCTTGAAGGGAATCCGCACGTGAAAGAAGTGCGAGGTTTGGGTCTTATAATTGGAATAGAGCTGGATGTATCTGCTTCACCCCTTGTTGATGCCTGTCGAAATTCCGGTCTTCTAGTATTAACTGCAGGAAAAGGAAATGTTGTGAGACTGGTGCCACCATTGATCATCTCAGAAAAAGAATTGGAACATGCAGCTGAGATTCTATATGAATGTTTACCAGCACTTGATAGTAGTAACTGAGGTTAGGAGAATTGATACCCTTTGGTTCCAAATGAGACATCTAGAATGTTTAATCTAGTATGTGAAATTTGCTTTTTTAATGTTAAACTAGTCAAACAATCAAAATCCCATAATTATTCTAATTAGTCGAGCTGTCATCTTGTGCATCAACTGCCCTGCACTTGTATTATTTAGTACTTTTAAGACGTATTTGGTACATAATTATGATACGATAAGATAAGATGATATTATGACTAAGATTATATTAAATAATGTCGTATTTGATGTGTACAATGATTAAGATATTATAATTTATTTATTGATCAAAATTATTTTTAGTTAAAGTTTATATAATTTAAATTATTAATGTAATTTTAAGTATATAATATGATATATAAATTTAATCTTATGGATTAAAAATAATCATCATAATTTTGAGATGATTGAATCATCTTATATATATATATATATATTGTAATCGTATTTGTTTTTTATCTACAAATTAAATATAATATAGGTTATTATTTTATTTTATTTATGATTTATATACTAAATATGACTTTAATATTTAAGATGTCCACTTTTTTTTTTTATTTAAATAATCAATCTACATCTTGAAGTATTGTTTTGAAAGTTTACTCGTTAGGATTTAGTATTCAAGAAGGCTGTAGCTTAGCATGACGAGCATGACTCGATAACTCGAGATTTGAAATTTTATTTGAATTTGATTAAGTGTTTTTTTCATGTTCAAGTTTAGTTTGTAAATATATATGTTAAATATATTTAAAAAAGAAATTTTAATTAAATTTTAAATTTTCTTAAATTAGATATTAAAATATTTAAATTTAACACATTCATTACTAGAGTAGTTTGAGACCAAATACAGTTAAATAATGAACAAATCAAACTTTGAGTGTTACATTCAAACAAATCCACTCACAAATAGCTTCACTTGTTTTCACATTAGTTCAAACAATTACATTATGAGACTTTAATATTTGTCAATATGCAAAAGGGTTTTTTTTTTTTTTTTTTAAGAAAAAAATTGTCTTATAAGTTAGAAGTTGGACAGAACAAAATGTCAATGTGCAAAGCTTGTTCCACTCGTAATTGGAATTGGATACGAAATATATATGTAATGTTTGAAAAAGGGCAATGAAGTAGCAGTGCAATAGTAGATGAAAATGAGGGAGAAAATCTAGGATGATTTTTTGTAGAAGCGCAAACTACGCGATTCTCATCTTATTTTAGGGACATCCTTAATCCTTCGAAAAGATTTTTCCAGGGTTCAGGCTGGTGGGGGTCTTTCCGTCGTTCCCGCATCTGCATGTCTTTCTCAATTCCTCTTTGCAGTGTCATCATTCGGCCTATGCTAATCGCACCTATGTAGCAGTAGTCCAGGTTGAGTCATGCTAAGGACTCACCAGTAACCATATGTTGGAAATTAAATTAAACATGATAAATTTGTCAATTTTTAATACAATATAATCATGCGATCATTCAAACACTATTTAACCTAAAAAAAATTTTGCTTCAATAACATCTCTGTAACAAATATTCTCAGTAAATATTTTTTCCTGCTCTAACAAGATTATGAAAAAAAAAAAAATAATAATAATGATAAAGCAATGGCCGCTTAATAGCTTTAACATCTTGATGTGAAAAGAAAATATTTAGGGGGTCCAAGAACTAGGCCTAGTTGTGAACTGGAACTGGTACTGGCATTAGTTACATAGACCAAGCCCAGCGTTCACTTCTAGGCTCAATACTGACATGACCGGTTCCGTGGTAGTAAACCAATGAAGCAAATCCACCTTTTTGTTTGACCATTATTTATCTTTTCCTTCAAAATTACTATTCACATTGGTAATGGAAGAATATTCAAAAGTGGCTCTATCAATTGACTCTCAAAGCTGGAATTTACGAAAGCTTGTGGCATCTGATCTGACCAAACTCTGCATTTCCCCATACAAGCCTAAACAAAAGCCATGAAATTATTATCACCTCAAAGCAGAGACCAGAGCTTTACTTTAACCCAAAAGTACACAGTTTCGAAGTACAAGAATCATAAAGTTATCATAATAGCATACTTTCTTTGTCTTATTTTTCTCTTGGGATTTTCTCGAACACTTCATTCTCAAAACCCAAAGTTATAATATTAAACTGTGTCACATTGCAAGTGAACAACTCTCAGTCCAATGAGTGTTAAAACACATATTATAAAAACCCCATCGCGTGCATCTTCAGTATCGGTACCCAGTTTCTCTTGGGAACAACATCCCATCCCTCCCTCTCTTCAATATCTTCATAGATAGAGTGATTTAGAGACTTATAGACCGACATTCTTTTTTGTTCCTAGTGAATGTTTCTTCAAATATCGAAGTGCCCTTGAAAAAACTGCCCAAAATAAAGCCAACAACCCCAATCTGTGTACGTATTCTCTTGCATGTGTTAGTGTTTCAGAGAGAGAAAGATCTGAGGTTTTTGATGAGCTTTTGCTTGCAAGCACTATTTAATACAACAATTGTCTTCAAATTCCAGCCTCATCTCTTTGATGGACCACTGATCATTTGTTTGTGCTTTGCTACATTTAGATACAGTTTCTATTTTGTTTCTCTTAGCTAGTCAAGCAAACTAAACTAATTAGACAGAAAATGTTGCCCTGATTTGCTTCAACTTTGGAATTTCAATATTACCTCGGTTTTCTTATTGTCTCAGCCTTTGTTTTTGCGAGGATATGGAAAAATCTTGAATCATAAATATTTTTGCAATTCTAGTTTCATATTAAAATTATGTAAAGATACCTTATGATATATGTAAACAAAATTTGTTTGTGAAATAAAAACTTAAAATTTAAAATTAAAATGAACAATATCTTATAAATTATATACAATATTTATATTTATGAAAATGTTTAAACGAACAATTATAAATTGATATACTTTCACCAAATTAAGAGGAATCTCATATAAAAGTTCAACTTTCAACGTAAAAAAACATGGTTAGGAAGAAGGGTAGCATGCATGGATCCACTAACACATGATTATGCTACAAATTCGAATACACTAACAAAAAACAGTATTTTTTTTTTATTAATCAAACATTTTGAAACTATGTTGCTTTTTGCGGTGAGTGTTTGTCTTCCATCTTCGGATTTGAATAAATAAATGCATGTTGATCTTGAAAGAATAGCTGCTTGAGATGGGGCATAATAATATTGTTTGGCTTTGTCTTGTTGCTGTCAAAGTATTTAATAATGATATCGAGATACATATTGAGACTTGAAACATGCAAATATATGTTATTGGAATCTTTCTTTCTCCAAATACAAAATTTTAAATTATTAATATATACTTAGGATATTATTAACATCTTAACAAAATATTAACATTATCTTTGAAACGTAGGACTGAAAATGTGAGATATTAGATTTAAATTTTAATTCATTTGATTTTAAAAGATTGATTTTTGAGAAAATAAAAAATTTAGAAACTTATTTAACATTTTAGCTTTCTTTTCTTCGATTTCAATAGATTTTGCCGAAAGTAAATCCAAAAGAAAGGCCAAAAGATTTTAGAAGTAAGAAATGGTGTGATTGACATGATCAGGACCTTTCATGTGTCAACGTACGCCAAATGACTCATCATCGCCATCATCATCGTCAAGATCAGACCGTCCTCCACTTACATATCGGATCTTCAACTGCGTCCGCATGGTTTCTCCACTGCACCTCTCTATCACCCAAATAGCGAGCAATCAAAAATTAAAATATAAACAAATAAATAAATCAACATCATCGTCAACATCTATCTCCGGTCAATGCCTCAAAACAATCTAATCCTTTGATACTAACCTGACGTCACGCAATCAGACGGCTATTAACCATCAAGCACCCTCGAGATTATGCACATTAATACCTATTGTGGATTGCGCATCATTTTCCCACCCCCAAGTTCTGGATTGCGCATCATCTTCTAACTTATTTACAATCATGTCCCTCTTCTGATTAATTGCGACTAGAATCTAGAGATTCCGTTCCAATATGGTAGGGTTATTTCCGACCTTTTAAGTCCTTAATCTCCCCCCCATCAAATCACCTTGGGCACGCTTCTATTTTAATGACATTCTAATCCCTTTAATACGCTCACTTGAGTTTTGATCATAGGGGTGTTTCCGTATTTTTAAGCCTATATTCGGGTTTCTCCACCTTAGGACGTTTTTGTCCTCAACTTGAAAGAATGCTTCAGTTATAATTTATCGAAAATTAAAACAAAATATAAGGGTAAAATGGGTAATCTAGAAAGGGATATCCCTCGCTACTAGTACTGCCAATGTAAATATTAGGTGTCTCGTCGAAATTGACAGGAATATCTTCAAATTTAAATAAAATCTTTTTTGTTAAAAATTAAATCTTTTATTTTTTTCTCCATAAATAAATATGTATTCGTGGATCTGACTCATATGAGTTTCTGTCTCACTCTTCACTTCCATCTCTTACAATGCAAAGCCCCGCTATCGTAAATTACCAACCTTTACAAGCCATTTCGTTCTTCTGCAGGCCAGAAACTTCTGAATTAACTGAAACGCCTTGCCTTTGCAAGCCTCCTGCTGGTTCTTCTCACTTCTCTTATTCATCAATGATAGCTCCTACCCATTTTTACAGGCAAAACTATCTACCCATTTATGCTGAATTCTCGGGTGCTTTTTCACTCAATGGCTTTGATAAGAATCGTGAAAATGAACTTCAAACCCTAATTGAAACTCGTCCCGAAACGCCTTTTGCTCTTGATGGGATAGCAGCTGTGGTCGGCGAACACGTTCTCTTTGGTAACAAAACCGATCCCACCCCAAACAACAACAGCAACGGTGTATTTCTATCCGATGCCAGCGCTAGCAAGCTAGAGACGCCAGGTTTCGTTTCGTTGTCACAACGTTTCGGGTCTAACAATAGAAACGTCAGTCCTGTTGTTACGGTGCAGAAAAGCTATAGAGGTGTAAGAAAGAGGCCGTGGGGGAGGTGGTCAGCCGAGATACGCGACCGTGTTGGGCGGTGCCGGCACTGGCTGGGCACGTTTGACACTGCTGAGGAGGCTGCGCGTGCGTATGATGCGGCAGCGAGGCGGCTGAGAGGGTCAAAAGCCAAGACCAACTTTGAAATTCCATCGGTATTGCCTCTCTCATCGCCCTGTACTTCATCTTCATCTATAGAAACAAAGAAGAAGGTGAAAGGTAAAGCTAAAACCGAGAGGAAATGCGCGGTGGTTACCTCCGTGTCTCAGTTGTTCAGTTGTAGTAGTAGCTTTGGTGGAAATGAAGGGAAAGGGACTGTGGAGCTGGAGTTGAAGTTGGGTGTGGGACTTAAGGGTTCTACATCAAATAATCCTGGTTTAGTGAAACAGTCAATTCCTCTCAATTAGTAGCAGTAGTTTCCTTTTACTTCCTTTTTAGGCTTGTAGTAACTTAAATGAATCAAGGTTTCATGGGTAGAAACTTTTTTGTCTTGCATGTGCATTGGAGCGAAGGAAGATGGCTTTTCTGGGCTGTAAGTAGTCCAAATCTAGGAATATCAATATATATTGTATATGGATATATAGAAAGAAACTGACAGTGTTGTAGTAAATTAATATTCTCTGCCTGTTTGAATGTTGCTTTATCTAATTCTATCTCGTTGGCTATTGGGGTTTTTTTTTTGTGTTGAACTGAGAGTGGCGCAGTCCTGAGAAAGCGAGAAAATTCTTTCAGGCAAGCTTGGTGGTGAAGTGCAACATTAACAGTGATTTAGTTGCTTCTCTTTTTGTTCCTTTCTGTCTCTTTTGAGTATATTCTCAGCAATATTCAGCTAGCTTAGCTTGTCATAGGAGAGATGCCAGACCCAGACGGTTTCTTGTTGCATGAGGAAATGAAGCTTTTACTTTGAGTTTACTCTCACTAAATCTGTTTGCACTTTTCAAGACTTGCTGCAGTTAATTATAGTTTCTTCTTAAAGCAATTTTGATGTTGCAGTGTTATAGCAAACAATGCACACTTTAAGTTAATCATCTGCAGCACTCAAAACCCATAAGCAGGAGGGGAAGGGAATTCCAATAGTCTCTTCTTCTTGTCTTTGCCTTGTAATGGATCTGAGTGCGAAGACAAAAAATGAAAATAAAAACTAAGAAATGTAGAACAGCTTTTGGAAAGCTAACAAAATCCAAGACACTGATAACTGACGTACATATCGAAACTAAGCTGAGCGGTGACTTTTTTTCAACCTGATTTCATGTATAAGTAATGGGCAGATGTGCAACCCTAGTTTCTACAACGTCAAATTAAAGGTCGAAAAGAAATCATCATCATTATTAATGATCACAAGTACAAGTGGAAAAGAGGGTAATCCTTAATTTCAAAGATGAATTATACATAAAATGGGTGGGTTTGCAGAAGCCGCCCTGGAAAGGCGCGGGTGAAAGATTTTATTACATGATGATGGTGATAGTAGCTGCTGAGTAGTGGGGGCAGAAGTGTAGCATAGCAATTGATTGGGAGATCAGGGATAAGATGCAAAGTACAGGCAGGACAGTACGCCAACCCTTAATTTTGCCATCTGTTGCAAAATCCAAAACCCTATCGTTTCCTTCTTATTGCTATGTGTCGGTGAAGAGTTTAAGTGAAATTTGTAAAATTATTTTTAAAAAATTATTTCATAAAATTTAATAAAAAATATTATTAAAAATATTATTTTTAATTTAAATTTGATTCATAATTATTTAATAATAAAAAGTTTATTAATATTTTATTAAAATTATTTATCTAAAAAAAATTTTAAAATTTTTTAAAAATTTTACATATTTAATTTATATAATAAAATTTTTTAATTTTAATTTAATTATTTTTAATAAAAAATTTCATAAATTTTAGCTTAAAAATTTCATATAAATCTTTTCTCGATAAAGATACAACTACAAAACACTTCAATTTGCCAGCTTCAATAATTTATGATTCAGTTACCTTTTTTTTTTTAATTACGTATTTTTTTTCATCCTTCGCTTAGCTTTTTATTTTTAAAATATTTAAATAATATATATGTACAAATATGTGTATATATAAATATATATAAAATTTTTTTAAAAAATAATTTATTTATATTACTTCATTGAAATAAAATTTAAAATAAAAATAAATTATATTTAGCAAAAAGAAATAAACCAAAAATTAAAATAAAAATTCTAGTGAAGAAAAAATTTTCTTATGAAAGACAAATGAAATAGCAAAAACCTATAAAAAAAAGTAAAAAAATAGTTTTTATATTTTTTATTTTTTAAAAAATTTATTTTCAAATCATTAATTCAAGAATATGTATAAATTGAAATTAGTATAATAATAATTTATGACTTTTTGTCCTTTTCCTTTTAATTACATTTAAATGATTAAAAGAATATGAAAACATTTAAAAAAAAGTTAATTTATATTTCTTCTTTTTTAAAGATTTATTTTAAATCATTAAATAATGAAATATAAAAACTCAAAATAAAAAAGATTTACTTGGACATGATTAAAACTAAATTAGTTTTACAATATTTCATATCTTTTTATACTATTAATATTTATTAATTCAATGATTGAATTTTATGCTTTATTCAAGTAAATTATACATGCTAAATTTCAAGTAAATTTAAAACATATAACTATTTGTGTGGTAATAATAAAATTTAGTCATTAGTATATATTAAAAACGATATTTTTTCGATTGAAATGATATGAATATTGAATTAACTTGAAACCCTAGGTAAATAATAAGTACAAGTTGATTGTTAAATCTATCAATCAATTTATAAAAATATTTATTGTATATGAAGTTATAATACTTGTGTAATTTGATCCTTCTATTAAATTAATATAATTTTTTTTTTTGTATTTCTATCATTTTTGTTAAATGTAATAGTTAGTAGAATATAAAAAATTTTTAAAAATAAATTAATTATGAAAAGATTGAAATTAATATGATAACATTCTATAAATTTCCCTTTTTCTTATCATTTTAACTTGTTTTGGTGTTAAAAAATTAAGATTTTCTTTGTTTCGTGAAAAATAACTTTTGAAAAATTTTACATTTTACGATGTTTATATGGTAAAAAATTGGTTGATTATCTGCAAATAATTTATTGGCCAATAAAAAAAGAAGGCATTCTTTTGAAAATTATCTTTCGCTTTTAAAATGAGAAAGATAATTTTTAGAAAAGAGCGTGAGCACAATTCTACTCAAATTGGACTTTGAATATGATTTTTTTAAGTTAATGTTTAATTTGATCTGACCCAAATATTATTATATTAATATAAATATTTTTATTTAATTTTTTTAAAAAAATTAAAATACTAATATTAAAAATCTTCTAATATTTTAATTTTAAAAATATTTTTATTATTTTACTCATGTAAGACCTTGGCATGATATGTTAAGTTTAAACTTGATTTAATCTAATATGAAATATTATTATATTAGTAAAAATCTCTTTTTAATTTTTTTGTGAAATAGATATTATAAAGCATGGAAGCCGACAAAAAAACTTGCAAGTAAAATTATTAACTAATAACTACCAAAACGCTTCATGTCTTTGTACTTATGTTTTAATTCCAAGCTTATTATGTGTTGAATTACACAAAAAAAAGAATGTCAACTATCTCCCATCAAATAAAGCTAACTCTTTCTATTGCATCTTAGACTTTCAAAATTTCTAAATGTTAAGATAAACATTTTCTTAAGGCTCGAGTTAGTTATTTTATGTTACATAACGGTTATTAATTATTCACACAAAAAAATAATTATTGATTATTATAATTATTATAAAGAAAAAAAAATGGTATTCATATCGAAATTTTTTTTATTTTATATTATTAAAAATTTAATTTTTAATCATGAAGTTTACAAAAAAAAAAGGTCATTAATAATATGAATAATATAAATAATTTGATATTCATAGTTCAAAAAATATTAGAAAATTTTTTTAAGTTAATAGCACCCATGGTCCGTAAACTATGAGCCAAATTCTCTTTTAATCTCTAAGTTTTAAAATGTTTTAATTAGATCAATAATTGCTCAAAGTTGTCTAACTTTGATTTTTTTTTTTTTTTTTTGTCTACAGAACTCTTTAAATTGATGGTAAATAACAATTAGTGTTATGTGGATGGCTTCAATTGATATCTCACATGGCAGATGAAAGGACCAAAATAAAATTTTGCTCAAAGTTTAACTACCAAGGATGTTATTATATTGAATTATTTTATATTTCATATATATTGCATAAAATATTAAAATTTAAAATAATTTTTATTATAATATAATTTATCATTTTTTTTTTTGTTTTTAACAAAAAAAAGATTTCAAAAATTAAAATTAAGTTAAAAATTTTAAAATATTTTTGTTAAAATTCTATATCATTTTAAAAACAAAAAATCTATTTTCAATTGCAAATATTTTTTACTGATAAATCATATCAGAAAATATTATTTTCAATTCAATAAACCTATTTTCTATTAAAACTATTAAAATATGTTTCTTTTTTTCTTTTTTGAAATATATTTTACAAAATTTATTTTATAAAGAAGAAAAATGAAAAAAATAAAAATAATTAAATAAAAATTGATTTATTATATTTCAAAAATATTATTATTTAAAATATTTTTGTATTTTTATTTTTATTATGATATGATTTATTAGCTAAATAATATTTTTAATCAAAAATAAATTAAAAAAATAAAACTAAGTTAAAAATTCAAAATCTTTTTTAAAGAATTTCTTATCATTCAAAAGTCAAGTAAAAATTTTTGTATCGATTTAAAAAATTAGAAAAAAAAGCTTTTTATCATTTTAAAATATTAAGTAAAAATTTTCAGATCCTTTAAAAAATAGATTTATTATTTTATTTAAAAAAATCTTTTTTCTCCAAAAAAATATATTTTGAATCTATTTTTTATTAAAATTTTATATTTATAGAAAATTAAAAATATTATTCTTAATAACCAAATTTATTACCCTTATCTCATAGGCGGTGGTATTAATTGTCTATTTTTAATTATTTTAATACAAAATTTTAATAAAAAATAGAATGTTTCATTTAACAAACGAATCAAACATATGATTTTGGATAAATGATGTATATCATATACAATAAGATATACAATTTATTATGTTGCAGTTCATTTTATTTTTTCTATTTGATACATAAAAACCTAAAAATGTAATGAAACTTTTAACTCAATTTCATCATTTTCCAAAATTGAATAACTAATTTTAGTATAATCAACAATGAAAAACTTGAGTGGTTATTAATACACTTTAAATATCAAAATATATATTATTTTATTTGATAGGTAGAATTAAAAAAATGATAATATAATCGTATTTGAATTAAAAATAATAAAAATAAAAGAAACTCATTATTTAAATTTACCTAATTATCACAAACAATTATGTACATATAATATAAATGTGCAATAGAAAAGTTCCAAATTAAAACTTTGGATTTATTAAAATGTCCTTTCAACTCCGATGTTTATTTATTTTTATTAATGTTTTAATATTGTTATATGAAAAAAATTATAAGATTAATAAAACTCATTGCAATGTTAACGAGTCAAATATTAAAGAATTATAAGCCACTATAATTATTATTTTCATAACTACTATAATTTAAAGATAATCTAACCAATAGTAAATGGAAGGTCACTTATATAGTCCAAAAAATAAAAAGAAAATTGTAAGTGATGAAGAAAATCAAAAGTTTACAAAAATTTTAACAAAAACAATTGAAAAAAGTATAAATGTAAAGAAAATCAAAAGTCAAGAACTTATATAAA